TATTTATTATATTAAAAACTAGAATAAATAATAAATATTTTTTAAGAAAACTGTAAATATCTTCTACACAATTATATTTGAGTCAAATAAAATAATAATATATTTATTAAAATTAAGGAATTAATTAAAATGTTTACTACCAAAATCACGGATTAAAAATGATAGAAAGTCACTCAGAAGCATAGAAAGTAAATTATTCTTGAATCAAATAAAATTAAAAGACCCTACAACAAGCAGTTTAAATGATTTTTAAGTATTTAGAAATTAGAATAGATCGAAGTTTACTGCAATATATATATATTTGGGAATGAGGAATGACAATGATGTATCTTTAGTTTACTTTTATTGGATGAGAAATAGATTGAGATTTGTTGCAATATTGATATGGGATTTTTATAAGTGGGAACTGAACAAGACTGTTTTAGTTGAGTGGATAAATAAATACATACAAATTTATTAAAGCTAAACTGATTTTTTCGTTTATATTTAATTATTTTAAAATTCTATTGATTAACCAATAATTTTTTATAAATATTTAGTTTTATGATAAAAATATAATGCGTAAGGTTACATGTAGGACAATTTTATATGTTAGTGTAATTTTAATTGGATTGATATTAACAAGATTTGATAATGCTAGTACACTCTCAATAATATAAGTATATATATTATTGCCTTATAAATAAATAAATAAATTCTAATATAAAATAAAGAAAAATTTAATAATTTTTTTATCTTACATGTAAAAAATTGCATGCAAAATAAATAAACTTAAAAATTTTGAGCCTTTCAGTAAACGTTGCTCTTTTACTGTGTTTAAATAAGAACGTGTAAGTAAACTTTTAAAACAAAATATGAGACTCAACAACATATAGCCCCTTTAGTGGTCGTGGGACTTAGTTTTGTATTGTGAAACACTCAATGTGGGATACATCAGGGTAACACAACTTCTTTCTTTTTCATCGTGTATAAAAGAGTAAAAAAAAATTGAAAGTCAAGAATGTAAAGAGATGAAAAAAATGAAAGACAAATGAAATTGAGTGGAAAGTAACATTATTTAGTGTTATCACATGAAGTTGGTCTGAAGATGACTTTTTGAAATCTCTTCTACTTTGCAAGTTGGATGTTTTAAGGTAGGAAAGTAACATTATTTAGTGTTATCACATAAAGTTGGTCTGAAGATGACTTTTTGGAATCTCGTCTACTTTGCAAGTTGAATGTTTTAAGGTAGGGTAGTATCTGTAAAAGAGACTTTGATACTTAAGTTAATGTGTGTAATAGCGTAGATGTCCCTTATATTTATAATATGCATACCTTAGTGATTTTTAGGGTTATCTTTGTGAAACGATTCCGTGATAAATGTGATATGATTTTAAGATCGTAGGTGGCGTAGCCTTCATAATTTGTTGTGACTTTTCGATGTCATCGTCCTTCAACCAAACTTATTTGCTCAGTTGTGTCTGGCCGAGCTTACTAACTCGGCCACTATATTCGATCAGGTTGATACATTAAGTATAGATGAAAGGAAGGTAAAAAAGAGCTTACCTATTTTAAAGAGACTTTCTTTTTTATTTTTATTTTTGTATTAATATAATCGATTATGCATGTGATACAAAATATTTAATTGTATGTAATTTTTTTATACGAACATGGCAAAATTCATTATGCCATGTTATTTTTTAAAATAATATGTATTTGAATTTTTTAACTAATCATAATTGATTATGTCTTTTGTTATAATTGATTATGATTCTTTGTCAAGAGTTTATATTAAGATATAATCAATTATATAAATGTCATAATTGATTATAATATATTAAAAAATCACTAATTTTATAAATT